ATCCCGGGCGACAAAGATTTATATGTATATTCGTCCTGATTATTGGTAGCCCTGAATGAAGCGGGATGTGGCATGGTATGTGGAGCGGTGCTTGACTTGCAGGAAAGTCAAGGCCAAGCATTAGCAACCTCATAATAAGATGCAACCGTTAGAGATCCCCGTATGGAAGTGGGAGGATATTACCATGGATTTCATCACAAAGTTACCCCTTACTGTGTGTGGAGTGGATTCGATTTGGGTCATTGTGGATCGGTTGGCCAAGAGCATGCGTTTCATTCCGATTCAGGAGAGTATTTCTGTAGAGATATTGGTTGATATTTATATCAGGGAGGTGGTGGCACATCACGGGGTGTCGATTTCGATGGCTTCTGACGGAGATGTCTGGTTTACTTCCAGGTTTTGGAAGAGGTTCCATGATGAGTTGGGTACTAGTATCCATTTTAGCACAACATTCCATCCGTAGACCGATGGTCACAGCTAGCGGACGATTCTGACATTAGAGGATATGCTCCGGGCGTGCGTTTTGGACTTTGGTGGGAGTTGGGATACATATCTTCCGTTAGTGGAATTTTGTATAACAACATTTATCACGCCAGCCTTGATCGACCTCCTTTAGAGATGCTCTATGGTAGGAAATGCAGGACCTCGATTTGTTAGGGAGAGGTCGGTCAACGGGTTATAAGGAGTACCGAGGTGGTACTCAAGACCACTGAGCTGATTCAGCAGGTTTGGTGTAGGCTTCAGACAACTCAGAGTCGGCAAAAGATTTATCCCGATAGATGCCGATCAAATTTAGAGTTCCAGGTGGGGGATATGGTTCTCCTGAAGTTGTCACCTTGGAAATGTGTCATCCGATTCAACAAAAGGGGCAAGTTGGGCCCCATGTATATTGGTCCTTTCAGGTTATTGGCTTGGGTGGGCCGGGTCGCTTATCGCTTGGATCTTCTTGACGAGCTAAGTTAGATTCATAGCACGTTTCATGTCTCTAAGTTGCAAAAGTTCTTAGTGGATGATTCCGCAGTGGTACCATTGGAGGATATCCAAGTGGATGACCGCATGAATTATATTGAGAGACGAGTGACGATTCTTGATCGAAATACAAAAACCTTGAGGAACAAGGTTGCAGAGTTGGTGAAGGTGCAATGACAGCACTGCAAGGGTTCGGAGTGGACTTGAGAGCCAGAAGATGAGATAAGGGAGCACTATCTGAAGCTATTCGGTGTAGCGGACTTCGAGGATGAAGTCTGATTTAAGTGGGGGAGAATTATAATACTTAGATTTTATTAAGTTTCTTATTCCACCCTTGTTATTTAAAAGTTTACAATTTGGCCTCTAAGCTAGTACGCAGGGCATACTAGGTGGTATGCTTGGCTTACTAGCCCAAGTGGATTGTGCCTTTGGTTCACATATGTTGGGCTTACAAAGGGTACGTACGACATATACGTGGCTAAGTGAAATCCTAATTTTAGGCTATTGCACCCTATTTAAAGATTGTGATAGCCTCAGTAGGTCATGTTTAGACAACCTCCATTCCCTTTTGTCCATAAAATTGAACCTTAAGTGAGATCTTGAGAGTTTGAGCCTTAAAGTGTGATTTTTAGGTGCTTTGTGAAGGAGAAGGAGTGAACCATTTGGAGTTGTGCTTGGAGCTTGAAGATATGAGATTTGCTATTTATTTGCTTTCCATGTGAGGTAAAAAGATTCCATCTTGATAATCCATGTTGTTAGATCTAGTTTGGTGCCATTTTGTGCTTTTTGAGTCCATGGTTTAATTGTTGAGCCTCTTGCTTCACTACAGAAGTGATTGATGGTAGATCTAGTATCCTTTTGGCCCCTTTGTCCATAAAAATGCAAGCTTGGAGGTGTTTATGAACTTATTCATGTGTTAAATCATTTATTAAGCTCATTTGAACTCTAAGAGCCTCATTAAGCCATGCATGCACGTAAATTTGGCAGCTTTACGTGATAATCCACCTTAAGGAAGTCAGATTTGAGTTTGGGATGGAGTCTTAATCGATTAAGAGCTGAATTGTGAAAGTTGGCCAAGTTGGTGGAGTACGTCGGGCCTACAAGCAGGTATGTTGTGTGTACAAGCCCTAATGCGAGTACGCTGAAAGTACGAACTGGGTACGCCTTGCGCTCAATAGTGGGCTTTTATATTATGGGCTTCTCAGATATGGGCCCATATGTTGGACCTTAGTAGTCTTGGGCCTTGTTGAGTCACCAAAATTTTATTATTGGGCTGTTGATATTTGATTGTACCCTTTTGGTTGAAGGCCCATGAAAGGGTTCTAGACCAGTTTGGAAAATTGGGCCATATTTGGGCTTTGGGTGATTATTTTGGAAGTTGGGTTTTTAGACAATTGGTTTGGGCCATGGCCTTGGGTGAAGTTGGGTAAAGGGTAAAAAGGTCTTTTATCCTAGTTTGGACTCTTAGTGTGAGTAAGGATCCGATTATTAATCAGATGTTATTTTGTGATTATAGCGCGAGGATTTTAGCGGGCCAACGGTCAGAGTTTTTATCAATGAGATTTAGCAGTGTGAGGTGAGTTTCCTCACTGTATTTAGTGCATCGAAGGTACCAATGTTGACCCATGATTATTATGATAGGATGCTAGATGTCTGCGTGATTCTTGTAAGTGTAATGTGCTGGTATGTATATCGAACGAGGCTCGATGTCGAGCGAGGTCCGATGACTTTATTGTATGTTATTGGTTTGTAGTTATTGCATGTGTTAGCATGATTATATGTTTATATGTTATTATGTGTATCGGGGGGTCCGATGTCAGGCGGGGCCTAAGGAATGAAATATCTATAATCCGAGCAGGCTTGATGTCGGGCGGGGGCCCAATATGCGTTTATTTATATATGATGTGTGATATTTTGGGGAACTCACTAAGCTTTAGGTTTAAGGTTTTCAGTTTGTGTTTCAGGTACTTTCGGATCGAAAGAGAAGAACTCAGGATGATTCCAGAACACACACCATATTTTTCCGCACTTTGAGAATTACTCTGATATCTTTTGATGTATCGACATATTTTGATCTTTTTGGGGATTGTATGAAAATGTTTGGATTAATGTTTTATTAAATCAAAAATAAAAAATTTTGGGTTTTATTTTTATGACGTTACACGACGTAATTTTTTTTTTTTTTTTAATGTTTTCATTCTTTTTTTTATTTACACTTTCTACATACGAGTCGTGTCACATATAATACAATTTTTATTATTTAAATTTCCGTTCGTTAATAAATAATCTTACTTGCTTCTTTTTATTTATATGTCTGTATGAATTCGAGTTTTCTTTATGTTTCGACGTATATTTTGTGTATGTCTTCGTGCTTATTTTTTGAATGTTCTTTACGTATAAATTCGGTTATGTATAATACATTTTCATTCAACAGTATAAATTAAAATGGTATCGACCATATATATTTAATTATTTATCTGGCAACAAACACAACACTAAATAACTTTTATTAACATAATTGTTAAAATTTAACTTACAAAACATACTGTGGACATAGCTTTTAATAAGTAATAATCGGTATGAAGAGAATATAGTATTGAATCTATTTTTATTTATATCATTATAAAATGTGTTTTTTTATATTGTTATAAAGTACTATGTTTGTGTTACGATACGTGATATGTTTTTTGTTTTTTTTATATATTATATTGTTGGAATATGACTTTTTTTTTACGGACAATAAAATTCACAAAAATTGATGAATTACATTTTATTTTCCATTGAACCAAATATTATTTTAGAATTATTTGCATCATTCCAATCTTTTCAACGGTTTCTATGACACTATTCACTCTTAGGAATGTCACCTATTCAGTGTTTATATCATTTGCATTTGATGCGTTTGATTTTCTCGCACCGGATGCAGTGAAACTTTTTAATAGATTACAGCAGATCATGCATAGCAATTTTATATCATCTAGATCTATGATGTAATCTTCAAAAAAAAATTAGCTTGACCATACAAAAAGATTTAACAACACAACTTGTTGTCTATTTGACATCTCACTTATGTACGATGATATTTAACTTAATAAAAAATTTGATTTATATATATATATATATATATATATATATATATATATATATATATATATATATATATATATATATTAATTCGTTCAATAACTATATATGTATATTTTTTGAATCAACTCATAAATTTGTTATATATCTTTTATATATATTAATTCGTTCAATAACTATATATGTATATTTTTTGAATCAACTCATAAATTTGTTATATATCTTTTAAATTATTATTATTTTTTTTAGCAAAAATGGGTTTAGCTATTTTAGACATCCCCATCCCGCCCCCATACACCCTACCCCACCTCTACAAGACTACACCGTCGGCAAGCTGCCAAAAGCACCAGTGGCACTAATCTTAACTTGAATCTTTCGTCACACGAGATTCATCCATTAGTCTACTGAAGGCCCTACTTGCGATTTACAGTGAGACAAAGAAGAGGAGACAACCATCCCCAAATTCCTCTTTCTCTATTTCATCTCTATAATTCAATCATGCCATCAGGTGCTAAGAAGCGAAAAGCTGCCAAGAAGAAGAAGGAGGTTAATAACTCATCCACAACTAACCCTCATCAGGGTACGCATATACCCTCAGTCTCTCTCCTTGTTTCTTTATGTTCTTGCTTTAATCCAACGATTCATACCCAACCCACTTGCTATTCAATCTTTTTATGGTGTTTCAGTGTGTTGGGTGTGGCCCAATTTCTCTCAAAAGTGTCGATTAGTTTATTGCGAAAAGTTAAACGTGTTTAGCGCTTAACTGTTTATACATCTGTCTCTCAATTTTTTTCTGCATCTATTCGTTGTCGATTCGAATTGGTTTCGTAAAGTTGGTTTGTGGGTCTAAGCTTAACTGTGTCGGGACTTGGATCTTATTATAAATTTGGGAATGAAAGGATTAGATTTTAGCACTTTTGAGTTGTTTCACCAGCTCACCCATCAACTATTGTCTACTTCATTTAGGGCTTATTTCAAGCTCAATTTAGGGGTTATTATTGTCTTCTTACTCGTCTCTAATGGATCCAACCTTGTCAGGGGAGAATGAGGTTTCACAGGACAACCAAAACGCTCAAGATCCATCGGTAGAGGTGGAGAACAGAGCAGACGATTCATCCGAAATCAAATCTAAGGACGCAAACGGGGAAGAAACTAATATTGAGATTGAAACAGGTGAGAAACCCAAGAGCTCAAATGGTAGTACTTCGAGTTCTAGCGATAATTCAGATGAGGATTCAAATGAGAAGAAAGAAGTTGTTCTTGAACCTGAAGCTGAACCGACAACTGATAAAGCTGAAGAGCTGGAGATTCCCCCCATTGTGGATCCAGTTGATGAAACCAAAGCTCCAGTAGTTGAATCTTCGCCTGAAACAATACCTGATGAAGTTGTAGAACCTGAGGTTTCCCCCATTGTTGAACCAGTTAACCCTGTCGATCCTTCATTACAAGAGGCAGTAAAAGTGTATGATGAAACAAAGAACCAAGAGAGACAAGAATTAGTTGCGCCTGAAACTCCTGAAGCTGTAGAAGAACAGATTACCATTAGTGAAGATGCTTTGAAGGATGAAATCCCAATTTCTAGTGTAGATGAATCAGTTTCAAAAGATGTTGTCGAATTGTCTACAAAAGATCATGCAGATACAATTGAGCACTCTGATAGACACCTAAAACAGGTATGCTATTATACCATATACTCTTTTCTCTTTTCTGTTTGTGAGCTTTGAAACAAATTTAGGGTTATAAACTTATAATTATTATACAATATCTTTATACTTTTCTTTGTGTTTTTTTGACATTGCTTTAATCGGGTAGATACAATTGTGTAGTGTAATGGGAAGAAATGAAAGTAAGATGCTATAAATATAATAAACAAGTGAATAAAAGTACGTTGCTATTTCTTCCATTTATCCCTAATTCGCGCCAAGTAATTCTTTTACAAAGATAAGTGACTATTTAGAGTGGTGGATGGTTGAATATTTTATATAAATATTGAGAAATTTATAAATTTGTGAAAATGAATGCAGGCAGTTGTAGATCCACCTCCAATTTCACTAGAAGAGAGAAAATTGACTTCATGGACAAATTGCTGTGGAATGTTTGAGGTGTTTGCAGGGTCACAGAGGTAATTTCAGGTGGGGTTTCTCTTTAAACTTAATATTTATTTTTGTACATGACACGCTGACCTGTGACTGTGACTGTGACTGTGACTGTAACTGTGACTGTGACTGTGACTGTGACTGTGACTGATGTGAATATTAAAATGGAAAAAACATAGATCTGATCTGGATCTATAAAATTAGTTAAATATGTTTGGATCTTGGATTGTACCATCAAATCTAATTCAAACATTGTATAATTAAATAATAAATAATATTGGTTTCATTCAAATTTTAAAGTACACTAATTAATTACTTTGTTTGTTAAGTCGTTCTAATTCAAACATTGTATAATTCAATAATATTGGTTTCATTCATATATCTTTGTTTGTTTTAACATTTCTCGTGTGTTTTCTTGAATACAGAAAATTGATCATATAAAAAGGCATGGAGTTGCTAGTCATTTCATGAATCTTGTTCAAACTACAAAACATAGGTTTTGTTCCCGAAGAAGAGAGCTTCACCAAATTCTGTTCACTGTTTACTGTGTTTTTATTATTATTATTTTTTTCTTTTTCTCTCATGACACAAAATAGTATATTTTTTTCTTTTTTCAGTTTTATTTTTGTGGGTGTGTTGTTATGGAGCTATTTTTTTTTTTTTTTTTGTGTGAATTGTGAAATATGTTGTTGGTGCGTTGAGTCCATGGCTATACGCTTTTATAGTAATCGATATATTCAGAGTAGCTGTATTGTTGGAGTTTTAATTCCAATATGGATTATTATATCACACATCAGATGATATGATATGATCATGTGTCAAAGACTTTTTGATTTATCGAAATTGAGGTTATTAACCACATAAAGTAAATATTTTCTATTTTCTAATAAAATTTCAGTTTTTTTAAACTGTCCGATGATGTTTATTATACGCTATATACAATTATTGCCGTTTAGGATAATTACAGAAATGGTCCATTGGTCCCTGAGTTATAGTGAAACGGTCTTTTGCATTTCAGAAATGGTATATTAATCGTCTTTTTGTTTTACAAAATTACAGAAATGTTTCCTAAACTTATGAAAATGGTTCTTGTTTAATTGAAAAAAATCAAAATATACAAAAATGGTCCCTTTTTCTCCATAAAATTATAGAATTGGTTTATAGAAATAATGATTTACATACAAAATTACAGAAATTCGCTCTGCCTTGTAGTAAATTAACAGAAATAGTTGGTCCTGTGTTTCATAAAATTATAAAACTAGTCTCTCTGATTTACCAGCATAGTCCCTATATTTAACAAAAATTATGAAAATAGACCCCGTATATAGTAGACCATTACTAAAAGTCTAAAATAATATAAAAAAATATAGGATTAATAAACATACCGACCATCCCATTAGCTAGTTATATAACATTGTTTGCATTATAGAAAAGGTGCAGTATTAAATATAATATACAAAAAAAAAAAAAAAAAAAAAATTAATTGCAATGCATATTTTTCTAGAACGATGGGTCACCACCTTAAAACTTGGGTTATAACTTTTTAAATTTAGAACTGTTAATTTTAGTGATATAATCACTAAAAGACCACCTTAATTGCGGTGGCAACACATACATAAAAAGAAACGTGAGGCTTTATTTATTTATTATTGTTATAAATTCCGTAAATACAAGGGTAAATGACACAAAAACACTATTTTTATACAGAAATTCGATTTTGACACCGTGTTTATTTTTTGTGTTAATTTTGACATTGTGTTTTCCAATTTGTTACAATTCGGACCACTTGACCGGTTAACCAGGTTACATGCTGACGTGGCATGATGACGTGTCAATTTTGATGATATGACATGCTGATGTGTCAAAATTGAATTTTTTTTTCCACAAAAAACACTAAGTTTTCAATTTTTTTTTTCCAATTTTGACACTAAGTTTAATTTTTTATTTCAATTTTGACACTATGTTATTTTTTGTTCCAATCGAATATCATTTATCAAATTTTGTTCAATTTTGTATATTTTCCATTTGAAACCGTATAAATATTTTTTTTATTACATTTTAAACCATATAAACATATTTTTTTCATTTAAAAACTACATTTTTATTTAAATACAATGTGTTTTTTTTTTCTTACATTCAAAGCATTAGTTATATAATGAGAATCAAACTAACCATAAGCTTCTAATAAAATGTAAAACTTTGATGGGTTGCAAACTTGATATCTGATTTTTGATCGACTACACGCCTCCAAACGTCCAAACACATTTTAAAGTTGCATATTTAATATAAAATACAATTTTTATATAACTAATACATATTTATACATAAAAATATGGTTTGAGTGTAAAAATATATATGTATTTATACAAAACTACGGTTTTTAAATGAAAAAAAACATATTTATACGGTTTAAATGTATTAAAAAAATATTTATACGGTTTCAAATAGAAAATTATCAACATTGAACAAAATTAGAAAAAATGATGTTCGATTTGGAACAAAAAAACATAGTGTCAAAGTTGAAAGAAAAAATTAAACTTAGTGTCAAAATCGAAAAAAAATGAAAACGTAGTATTTTTTGTGAGAAATTTTTTTTGACACGTCAGCATGTAATATCAGCATGTCACGTCATCATGCCATATCAGCATATAACCTGGTTAACCGATCAAGTGATCAGAATTATAATAAATTAGAAAACATAGTGTCAAATTGACACAAAAAATAACACAGTGTCAAAATCGAATTTCTGCGTAAAAAAATGTTTTTTCGTATCATTTACCCTAAATACAATTGTATAATTTGCTATCGTATAAATTATGTAAAAGAAAATGAATAATAAGAAATCAAGTCTCCAAGATACAATTATATTGCGTTGATACGCGTATTGAGTTGAGTTACTAAACGGATTGTAAATTGCTCCATCGTTTTCTGAAAATTACAAATGGGAAAAGTTAGGTTCACATTATGCAAAATTTCATAAAGTACATTTTAAGATGTACTTTTCTTAAGAGAAAATAAAAGTAATAGTACTAAGTTTTGTCTTCACCACTTTTTTTAGACTCATGGATACGAGTGTAATCCAGCCTAATTTAATCAATCGACTATTGCCAAATTTGAAATCCGACTCGATTAATTAAAAGATCAAGCTCAAAATGGGCCTCAATTTCAAGTTCGGACTCGAGTCCAATTGAATCACGAGCCGCATATTTCAATACTTGATTCGACTCGAACTGAGTCGATTTCGAGTCGGTCTTGAGTATCTCACAAACTGGCTCAACTCAATTACACCCTACTCATGGAAAAGAAAATATGAAGTGTATATGTATTATTTTTTCTCTAAATTGTTTTGTTAGCTGTGAACTTAATATTTATCTGTTGTAAAAGAAAATCATATATGTTACGTTTATTCAACTTTTTGGAAAATTAGAAAATATTTTGTCAAAGTATATATGGTCATGTCATATTGAATAAAAACACCATTAATATTTAGAGTACTAAAAGATACCCCATGGCATTAAGAGCGAGACCCAGTATGGTAGTAGCGAACAATACTTCTACAAGCCACATGATTAATTGACAAATATAACCGTTTCTTTGAGATGATTTTGATGCCAAATGTACAACAGTCACACCAAAAAAAGCTATACCGAAGTCTATCATTGCATTCGAAAAGTCAATTGGTGACATTAATTCCTTCAGAAAATCAGATCTTGAACATATTGATACATATATACAAACGTTACAAGTTAGAACCCTAGCTAGTATTTTGCATGCATGCATTGTATTTGTATGTGTGGTTGTGGGAGAAAGAAGGATATATACCAATGATGGAAGCATCGTTGATAGTGTCTTTATATATATATATATATATATATATATATATATATATATATATATATATATATATATATATATATATGTTAGAAAAAGGGATGAATAGATTGCTTGGATTCTCTGAAAGTCGTGATTCACTATCAAATTGAAGTATTTCGATGGTACAGATCGAACACTCAATTGGATGAAATTCAGAGAATGAAATTTGAGAATGTATATGAAAATGTTCTTCAACATGTACCAGAATATTGACCAAAAAACGGATATATCAATCCTGTCTGAAAACTGTCAACAGACAGTTACAAACTGTCATAAAACTACCAAACTGTCATTAAACGGATGTCATGGAATAAAGGGTCAACTTTCTAAAATTGGATTTTTGATGCAATTTTTAATATAGCAACATAGTCCAAATAAAAAATTTTCGCACTGACCTGGCAGCTCGATCCCAGCCAGGGGCTCTGCCCCTTGGACCCCGCCAGGGGCTGCCGCCCTTGGGACCCCGCTCCCAGGGGCACTGCCCCCGGACCCCCGTTCGTTTAGGGGCTTCGCTCCTAAATAGCAATGTACTTTAAATCTTGAAAAACCTGAACAAGTGTGCACTCCTACACCATCCTAACTTGTTCAATATTCAACAAGATCACTTTTGGTCAACAAATTTAATCCTATTACACTTAAATAATATTTGATGATATAAAATCACCAACAAACCTCCCCCATTTAAGTGTAATCCTGATTAAACTTAAAAACAAAACATAAACAATAACAAACTGATGCATAAATGAAATGTCGTGACGATTGAATTTCATATTAGTATATTACTCAATCCAAATATTCGAATATCAGGGTGTCTCTAAGGATTGAACCCTTTCTATTCAAAGTGAATACATGAAGATAATACACACACCAGTTTACATTCTCATAATTTCTAACTTGACACTATATTTAACTAGCTTGTGTCCCATCCTTCAATAAGCATATCAAAGCCAAGTCCCAACTTTTTGAAGCAGCTAAACTTCATGCTTATATAGGTAGTTCTTTTATTCTTGCACCTGCAAATGCAATTTTTCAAAGAACTATTAAGAAATAATTTTCAACCTCCTTAACTTGCAGTACTGAACACATACCTTGGGATGATCATAAAAATGTGTTCCAATCTTCAAGTATTAAGCTTTCCACATTGAATTCAACATCTAATATTGCATTAGATGGGAATTGGGTATCTTAATATAAAAGATTTTAAGTGGACTTTAAACCCATCCCTATAGCCGCCTTGTGCACAAGATCTCTTGCTAACCCTTTGGTTAGATGATCGGCTAAATTCAACTGAGTTCTTACAAACTCCACAGATATCACACCAGTCATGATGAGCTCACGAATCATACTATGTCTAACACCTAAATGTCTAGACTTTCCATTGTACACTTGACTATAAGCCTTAGCCAAGGTTGCGGCACTATCACATCTGATAGAAATGGTAGATATCGGTTTGGGCCATAATGGAATTTCATAAATCAAATTCCTTAACCACTCAGCTTCTTTACCAGCAGCAGACAATGCAACAAACTCAGACTCCATGGTTGAGTTAGTAATACAAGTTTGTTTCTTAGATGCCCAAGAAATGGCACCTCCTCCAAGAAGAAACACCCAACCACTTGTAGAGGAGTGATCCTCTAAGTTGTTAATCCAGCTGGCATCTGAATAACCTTCCAAAACAGAAGGATATCCACTATAAGTTAAACCATAATTAATGGTCCCTTTCAAGTACTTGAATACTCTACTCACAGCTTGCCAATGATGTGAACTAGGATTACTAGTATACCTACTAAGCCTTCCCA